TACTTTGGGAATCGTGATTATAGTGGAAACTGAATGAATATCATTTGGCAGATTTGTTTTAACCACAAATTTACTATAATAATTCATTAGTTTGATAAGTTTGTGGGTTAACAGTTAGCTACTTTCTTGGATTGGTTGGTCATCCGATTTTGCTTTATCAGATTTATTAACCAGCAATCTTGGCAAACTGTCAAAGGAATCAGTTTCATCACCAAAATGTTATGCATTCACTTTTTCAAACTTATCATTAACTAACCACTAATATTGACAAACAGTCAGAAAAATTGGCTCTATGACCAGAAAAGTTAAACATTTACTTTTCAAGCGTATTAGTAACTACTGATCTTGACAAACAGTCAGAGAAATCAGCTTTTACAATTAAAGTGTTCTATATTCACTTTTTCAAGCTTCTTAGTAATTACTGATCTTGACAAATAGTCAGAGGAATCAGCTTTATGACCATAAGTGTTCTGCATTTACTTTTTCAAGTTTATGATTAACTACTGTTCTTGACAAATAGTCAGAGGAAACAGCTTTATAATCAAAGTGTTCTACATTCACTTTTTCAAGCTTATTATTAACTACTGATCTTGACAAATAGTTAGAGGAATCAGCTTTATGCAGATTAAAAGGCTTGATGGAGGACAAAAACAAATTTGTCATATCTACAATAATATCCTTAACTACAACAAACTTATGACTAACCACATCCCACACTTCATATTCATTTGGTTCATAACCAACCAGTACAGCTTTCCAGGATTTGATATCAAATTTTGTTTTCTTGGTTTTTGTGTACCAATAAACGGTATTATGGAACCAAACACTTATGAATATTTTACTTGAGGCTTTTTACTACGCCACATTTCGTATGGTGTTTCAAATTCTTTTAAAGTTTTAGTAAGGGTTAAACTAAGTGAGAATGTTGCAGTTAAAACTGCCTCCAACTTTTTTTTTTTATATAGCTGCATCATTTAATTTGTGAGGTTCATTGTCAAATGATGACTTACCTTTTTGCATACCAAAAATCTCTCATTCCAGTAGCTAGATATTCACCTTCATTGTCACAGAATACATTGAAAATCTGTAAATTGAAATGTGCCCCACTTTCAGCAACTGAATCTTGAAACATACAAAATACATATGACTTATGACTCATCAAATATGTTACACAATAGTGAGTAAATTCATGCACAAACAGTACAATGTTTTTGGAATGGAAGTCGCGCTTGTTTATGCACGCTCCACATAAATACTCTGTATAACCTGATCGATTTGCTCCCTAAGTCCTCGATCTCTATTTTTTTTTTTTTTTTTTTTTGTTATAATAATTTAATAATTTAAACCTCACCAATGTGGACCAAACGTTCAAACCACAATTGAAAATTTTTATTCTTATTTAATCGTCACTATTTGCTTGAATAATAGTGTTTTTTTAAATTTCCAATAACAGTGAGTTCAAGAGCAATTATTATTAAAGTGTTCAAAGACTTACCCATAAATTATAAGCTTACCGCCTTTGTAAATACTAGCACTTTTTTTTTTTTTTTAGCAATAGTCATACTAGCCCTTTGCATTTTTCTCTCTCTAAGGGTTCCATTTTTTTTTTTTTTATTGATGGAATTGTTTTGTTTCACTTTTTTTTTTTTTTGAAATTGCGTCTTTTAAAATCGATTTTAAAATATCCTCAACGATAATTATTTCTAAATTGCTGAGCTCTGATGTTCTTATCTAATTTCAAGCTCTATTAGCATAAAGCCTTTTGTTTCTTTTTAGTTTCAAATTTTCCATTGTCACATTAAACACTCCCGGTTTTCACAACCGCAATGAATACACGTACACTGGTCCCATAACCTGTTGGGAGATGGATTAAGAAATAAAAGAACTTGGTAATTATCGATATTCAATATATTTATTATATCGAACACAGCGTGGAAAGCAGAGCGTGTGAACACATAGAAATAACTATACGAACTGACTCAACATCAAGACAAACCCTTTCCTAAGTAAACGATTTCTCATCTGTTTACCTTACATATAAAAACTATTATAAACACATTCAGTCATCCATACCTGCGATATAAATTAGCAAAGTATAGGCTAATAATCAAAGTTTAATTTATTAATTTTTGTTTCACTTATATGAATATCAGTTTATCCAACAATACGGTCAACTATAATTGATGTAGTTTATAAAGATTTAGATTTGCATAAAGAACAAGATGTTGTGTTGCGTTGCACGCCATTGGCTGATTTTCGTTGTGGGCGGAGCTTGTGTAAAGTATCGACAAAACATATAAAAGAAGCCATTTTCAGGCCAGTTCAGTCAGTCTTATTCAGACAGTGATCGAGTCATCAACTCACCTGCCTGCCCCGCTCTCCGCGCCGGAGACAAGAACAGCTCTCACCTCATTTGTATGACAGGAATACTGTGACATGTACCCGGTATTCAGGACCGCGTATTAGGCTGGTAACACAGCGGCGAGGGTCCCCTTATTATCGGGATCAATTTAGTTGGCCCGTAGACGAGCCCCCCATTGTGTTACTGGTGCGAGCTACCTACGGGTACGAAGAAAGAAGAGAGAGAGCCCTCGATATAACCCCCTGGGGCGCGTATTAAAGCTTCCGGACAAGCCTAGTTCGCAGACAGGAAACCTGCATCAATCCTCGCACTGGAGGTTGGTGTCCTAGGGGAGTACTTCACTTAAATTACCACCAATACCCGACGAAGTCCTTTTCAGGATAACTGTCTGGAAGAGAAAGAAAAATTCGTTTGATTTCTGGTTCTTAATTGAGCCCCGCGCTTCAAATTCGGCATATTCGTGCAGCATTCCGTCTAGGAAAACCTAGACTCCTCCCCCGCGAATGTCATTACTGTTTTTGGATTCCTTCTTCAATTTTCAAAGGTCTCCGCCCCTCCGTGTCCGTCGACGACGGTTTTCGTGGATTTTTACGAAAATCCACTTCTCCTTTACAAGCTCCACGACGAATTAAAGCTCTGAAATCAAATAATTATCTTCTTCTTACAATGGCTCACCAAGTTGTGACAGAATTTGAAAAAGACCGATGTCTAAATTATCCAAGCTTGAATTTTTCTTGAGACTTTTTAGGAAAAATCTCAATTTCACTTTAACTTAAAGCTTGAAAGCTTTGTCGAGTTGGGACAGAGTTTTTAAAAAAGACAAGAAGTCGAGACTACCCCCAGCTTGATTTTTTACTTGAAATTTTTTAACGGAAAAATCTCAATTTCAATTACGACTCAAAAGCGAGAAAGCTACGCCAGGTTGGGACAGAGTTTTTAAAAAAGGCAAGCAGCCGAAACTACCCCAGCTTGATTTTTTCTTGGATTTTTTTATGGAAAAATCCCCGTTTTAATTTGACTGAAAAGCTAGATAGCTTCACCAAGTTAGGACAGAATCTAATAAGAAGGCAAAAGCCGAGATTACGCCTAGCTTGAATTTTATGGAGGGTTTTCAGGAAAAACCTCTTTTTAACTACAGACAGACGAAACTTGACCAAAAACACACGAACCTCCAAAGGTTAGACTGGCTTTCGGACCTGGTGCACCGTTTTTGTTCCTCCGTGTTTTTTCTTTGTCATTAACCTCCTCTCAGTACAAATGAAAAGTTGTACGCACACCGTGGGAAACAAAAAAGGGTTGTTGTTTAACCATAAAGACAACTGGCATCCCAAACCGACTAACACTCTGACAAAAGAACAATGGACAGATACAGTCCAGACATCTACGGCGCCACTCTAGATGAGTTAGACATTATACTAACTCAAGACCCCGGTCCTGCAACTGTATCGGACTGTGAAAATAACGAGCCTGAAGTCCCGCTCGCCGCAACAAGTCTAAGTCCGCCCGACGCAGCCGAATTTCCTTCGCTCCCTTTTTGCCGAGCTCGAAGAGTTCAGGCAACATAAATTGGAAGCTAAGAAAAGCTTATTGCGCGACAGTTGCAGCCGAACTAACCCATCATACCATCGCAAATAATAACAAACAGTTGCGGAATTTCATCCATACTTTCGATCAATTTATTAATCCATTTGACCCCGAAGTATCAAAAGATCTTCTAATAAATATTTCATCTGGTAAAGCAGCGTCAGAGCCGGTCGAAAACTTTCTCTTGAACATTGAAAAAAATGTTGACGCTAAACGTAAAACGTTTATTGCAGAATGCGAAGCAGATATTGGTAGGTTCGAGAAGAGCATAAAAAAAACACCTCTGGAAAATTTCACCATAGACCACACAAAAAAAACACACACACAAAAATAGGAGGTAAAGTCCAGAAAATACAAATTCAACGAGATTTATTTGGGCGCATGCTTGGCATATCTATGGACCATAAAGTCGATATGGCCAAGATTTTATAATATCCAATTACTCCAGTGCCATTATCCATGTGCCATTTCGATGGCGCCATTTGTAAAACTCAAAAATCCATCTTAATGAAATCATTAGAAAAAGACGTTGAGCACAATCCACCTCCTCAAATACGGTGGTTGGTTGGTGGATGGTTTTTTTCTTACTTCACTCGATAAAAAATATTTCAAGAAAGATGTTTCAAATGGTAACACAATTGAAAGCGACAAGATACGACGTCATTTTCGATCAATACTTTTCTCCGTCTATCAAAAATTATGAAAGATCTCTTCAAGAAGAGTGTACGCAATTGGATTTCAACATTACTGGACCAGATCAAGTCTGACCGTCGGATTTTGTGAAGAAATTGAAAAATATACGTTTTAAACCTGCCTTATTAACTTTTTCATTCAACACTGGGCTACTGATGAAATGGTACCATTTATTGGCAATAGACAGGTTTTTATTAATTTCAAGAAATGTCATTTTTACTTCGTTCGTGATAATACAGTTGTATCTGGTGTAGATGACCATTTATCATATCCAGAGCATGAAGAAGCGGACACAATTCACACGTGTGGATATTCACAGGCACCGGAAATAAGCAAAGATATGTGGATCTAACGAAAATTTATGAGCACATTGGACCTCCGTTGTGCAGGATTTCATGCTCTCACTGGATGTGATTATAACCCTGCTTTCTTCAAGAAAGGAAAACAAAGACCATTTATTATTCTGAAAAAAAAATACCAGTATCAAGAAGCGTTCATGAAATTCGGTGATTTGAAGTCATTCACTGATCATGACATACAGCAAGATATGTTCAACACGATTCAAAAGTTCATCTGCGATGTCTACAATGTGACTGAAATAATTGACGTTGATGCTGCCCGGCTTCAACTCTTCATAAATAGTTACACCGTTTCGAGTGTAAATGAAAAATTTCATCGTAAGAACATAAAAAACTTCGATGCCACTAATTTACCACCTTGCAAAAGTGAACCTCTTCAGCAATTCCGTCGAGCAAATTATATTGCAAGTATTTGGAATAATGCTAATACAAAACTACCCAGCATTTTCACTCCTGAGAACAATGGGTGGACATTGAAAGAGAACCAATATCATTTTAACTGGTTCGATGTTGATCAATTACCGGCCTTTGTCAGTGAATCACTCCAGGAAGATACAGGTATTTCACTTTGACCTGAAATATTCATTTTTTGATATTTTCAGCTATTTGCATTTTAATTCGTTCATTTATTTTCACAGAGAAAGCTGCTAGTGTTGATAATGATGGTGAAGATGATGATGATTGAAACGTCAAATATCAACATTGGCTCGACGATGAAAATTCCAATAACACGGTCGATGATGACTATGAAGATTGAGAGTCACGAGACACGAACACACATATTTATTGATGAATAATTAATAACGGATTTATAATTTTTCAAATTATGTCACAATATTTTGTTCTTATTGTCGCAATATATTTTCATTTGATAAAATTAACAATCAATTACTATTGAGGATTTTTATTTACATCAGTCGGCGTTTAAATTCTCTAAATCTAATTTCGCATGGATATCTCGCTCACTTTCAAACGCATGCATAGTACCTACCCTCGCGCTCGCACTAACGGAAAAATTGTTATTGCGTCTGGAGGGATGCTTGGCCGGTGCGATTGGTCTGGCTGATAAGACGTAGTTATGAAATAGTCTCCCCAATAACATATAGAAATCAAGCATTAGAAAAAAGTTAAATTGAAAATTTTTTTGCAAACTTTAAAGCGTCTGGCGGAAGCTCTGGCCTACGGGAGGTATCTAGCAGTGTTGAATGATGGTTTGTACTAATTTTAAACAAACCATATAAAAAAATTAACCGTTAGAATTTAAGTTAAGTGAGTCTAATTTTTTCTCACCTATCGCACCTGGTGTCAATAAATTGGCCGTCTAGCCAACCAAGTGGGTATACAACGTTCATAGTACATATAAGTGCTACTCAATCACACATATTCTGTCCTTTAGAAAATAAGTTGTGTCTGGCGGCTCTGGGCTCTTGGACTATTATTTTTGAGATCAATAGAGTTTTTATTTTAACATAAAAATTTTTTTTTAGGTTTATGATAAAAAATTAATGCACAGGCGAAATAGACATGTCCGAAAATCCAGTTATTGATCCAAATGAAGGGACATACGTGAAGAAAGAAGAATATTCATATTATGAATCCATTTCTCCAAGTGATATCGAGAAATTTCACTGTGAGATTTCCTCCAGCAAGTCAAAAACCAAAAATGACTCTCAACATTCAAATGTCCGTCAACAGAGAAACAAGTACTTTGAATGCTATAAATGCAATGCAAAATTTAAAAATAAAAGAGGATTAAAAAGTCATTCCATCATACATCTAGATGATTATCCTTATACATGTGACACCTGTAAAGAAACATTTAAATTTATTGGCAATTTAAGCAGACATTTGAAAACGCACTTGGATGGACATCCTTTCGAATGTGATACTTGTAAAGCGAAATTTAAATGGATCGCCAATTTGAACAGATATTTGAAGACGCACTCCGCACTCGGATGTTTATCCTTTCGAATGTAATATTTGTATTGCGAGATTTAAATGGATCGCCCATTTAAACAGACATTTGAAGACGCACTCGGATGATCATCCTTCCGAATGTGATACTTGTAATGCGAAATTTAAACGGATCGCCCATTTGAACAGACATTTGAAGACGCACTCGGATGATTATCTTTTCAAATGTGACACTTGTAATGGGAAATTTAAACACATCGAATATTTGAGAAAACATCTTAAAATTCACCCGGATGTTTTTCCTTTCAAATGTGACACTTGTAATGCGAAATTTAAACGAATCTACAATTTGAACGACCATTTAAAGAGGCACACAGACGATCATCCTTTCCAATGTTACACTTGTGAAGCGACATTTAAATATAAAAGGAGTTTAAAACGACATCTAAGGGGGCACCCAAATAAAAATTTAAATGTGTAGCAGTGAGTGTAGGATATTATACATGAAATGTGTCTAGAATCCACAGTAGAATCGGAAAATACAATAGTTTGTTTCGGGTAGATCCGGCAACACTTCACTTGTGTACATAGAGAGTATATCAGGTTTGAGTATCGCAAAATTTAAATTTATTTATTTTTTAACATTTCACAAACTTTTCATTTGCTGTTAGTTTCATGAGTCAATATACTAATTGTTTCAGCGATGAGCATTAGAAATATGTTAAGAGAATTCTTAAATATTTAAAAGGAACTAAAAACTATTGTATGACGTTTAATAGATGTAGTAATGTTGATTTGACAGGTTTCGTTGATGTTAATTGGGGGAATAATGTGTTGGATAGATTATCTTCTTTTAAGCTCGGAAATTGTTAATACGTATGGGAAAGCAGGAAACAAGCAACAGCATTTTAATCGCCGCACAAAACTCGCGAAATATGACGTCATTCACTACAACCAGAAATAATATACTGCAAATAAGTACGTTGTCAGATTATCGTTGCCATTGTTGATTTACATGAGTACCTTCAGAAACCTGGTTTTATCCTCGATCATATAATGTTTTCTGTTGTATTTTTCGAACATTTATAAAATTAATGTAATTTTTTAATTGTTAGTACGTTCAGTTGTTCAAGTACAGTTTTTGTAGTGTTCAGAAACGATACCTATATGCTCTGACGTGATTTCAAATTTAAGAAATCATGACAGTCAGTTTGGCAACGTCGCATTGTCTAATATCTGCTGATTAATATTATAACCTCCAATTTTCCAGTTTGTTTTGGTTTTTAAAATTTTGTATCAACGCAAAATTAGGTTATGTTGACCAACGCGATAAATGAACAAGGTGCAAATAACGAATGAGGAATTTCATCATTTGTCACTCTTCAAGAGCTTGGACAAGAAAAACATCAATGATGTGCCTCAGGGCCATTGTGAATGATTCTTATTGGTTGGTTATGAGTGTCGACGTCATACAATGGCGCCATTCCAGTACGTTTAAATATGAGTTGAAGTCGGGTATTTTATTGGAGATAATTTCCAAAGTCAAAAATTTAGTAAATATGTTGGCAACACAAGCTTTTTTTACGTAAAAAAAATGAAATTATTGAAAATTTCGACATTGTATTGCCAACATAATGTCATTTTGATTTCTACCTTTAATTTTGAGACAGACTTTATGAAAAGGGAAACAGCATTTTTAAAAATTATTTATCAAAAAAATAGGATTTTTTTCACGTGTTTCAATATTTGTAGTCAAACCTGATGCACCCCGTATTTGAAAAATATATATTTTTTTTTCCAGAAATGTTCTTGTTTTGATTTTTTTTTTTCAATAAATAATAAATTGAAACTTTGTCTCATAAGAGTACAGTTGTTTCCATTTAATTTACATGTATGTTAACTAACAACCCCTTATTCTTGAGGTCAATAGAGTTCGTATTTTAATATAAAAAAAATCTTTTAGGTTTGTGATAAAAAATGAATGCACAGACGAAATAGACATGTCCGAAAATCCAGTAAATGATCCAAATAAAGGAACATACTTGAAGGAAGAAGAATATTCATATTATGAATCCAATTCACCAAGTGATATCGAGAAATTTCATTGTAAAATTTCCTCCAGCAAGTCAAAAACCAAAAATGATTCTCAACGTTTAAATGTGCGGCAACAGAGAAATAAGGACTTTGAATGCTATAAATGCAATGCAAAATTTAAAAATAAAAGGGGATTAAAAAGACATTCCATCATACATCTAGATGATTATCCCTATACATGTGACACCTGTTAAGCAAAATTTAAATTTATTGGTAATTTGAGCAGACATTTAAAGACGCACTTGGATGGACATCCCTTCGAATGTGATACTTGTAATGCGAAATTTAAACGGATCGCCAATTTGAAGGAACATCTAAAAACACACTCGGATGTTTATCCTTTCGAATGTGACACTTGTAATGCGAGATTTAAATGGATCGCCAATTTGAACAGACATTTGAAGACGCACTCGGATGTTCATCCTTTCGAATGTAATATTTGTAATGTGAAATTTAAACGGATCGACAATTTTAAGGAACATCTAAAAACTCACTCTGGTGTTTATCCTTTCGAATGTGAAACTTGTAATGCGAGATTTAAATGGATCGGCAATTTGAAGCAACATCTAAAAACTCACTCGAATGATTATCTTTTCAAATGTGACACTTGTGATGCGAAATTTGAACAGATCGGAAATTTGAAAAAACATCTCAAAATTCACTCGGATGTTTATCCTTTCGAATGTGACACTTGTAATGCGAGATTTAAATGGATCGCCAATTTGAACAGACATTTGAAGACGCACTCGGATGTTCGTCCTTTCGAATGTAATATTTGTAATGCGAAATTTAAACGGATCGACCGTTTGAAGGAACATCTAAAAATTCACTCGGATATTTATCCTTTCAAATGTGACACTTGTAATGCAAAATTCAAACAGATCGCATATTTGAAAAAACATCTTAAAATTCACTCGGATGTTTACCCTTTCGAATGTGATACTTGTAATGCGAAATTTAAATGGATCGGCAATTTAAAGCAACATCTAAAAACTCACACGAATGATCCTTTCCAATGTTACACTTGTGAAGCGACATTTAAATATAAAAGCTATTTGAAACGACATCTGAACAGGCACCCAAATGATAGTATATTATATAATAAGTGTGATAACTATATCTATATATATATATATATATATATATATATATATATATATATGTCGTAGGCATAATGCAAATTTGGGCTTTTTATAATTTGCCTAGGCATTTTACGAAAAGCCGGCAAATCGCAAGCATAAAATGCATTTTTCGTTATGCCGGCACCACTTCAGGCAAACTGATAAAATACCGGCGAATCAGGAACAGAAGAATATATATCATGTTGAGACTGATTTATTTTTAGGTATTTTACAATTTGCCAAAAACGGTGCCGTCAAAACGTGAAAATAAAGTCGAAAATACTATTAAATATAAATAATACAGTTACAGTAGGTAAATCTTTTTATTTTGACAACAATAATTCAATATTAACATTCAAGAACATTCGCGGCTAGTGGCTACAGAATAAAATTCATATAATAGGACAAGAGCTAATGTGATGCTGTCCCAGTTACTTTTGGTGACGATGGTACATATTGTTTGCCCAGCGGATCTGAGTCTACGGAAGAAATTCGGACGTAAATGTGCCATGTTGCCACGTTTAATTATAAAAAAGCGAAAAAACTAGGCATGAAG